AGTCATGTGCACACATGAATGCACGTGCACGTGTACACACACACACACACACACACACACACACACACACACACACACACACACACACACGCACACACACACACACCCCTCCTGACAAGCAGTGGATAGACATTTACTAGTATGCCAGTGGTTATAGGTGTGATGGTCTAGTTCTCTGCAATTCTCCAGGACATCAGGGTTGTATAGGTTTGTCAGAGAATTTTATCTTGTCTTAAGATGCTCAGAAATGAGGATCCTAGAGAGAACCAGGCTGACATTGCTAGAGAAGGAACTGATGATCCATGAGATCCCAAAGGACATCCTACAGGAGATGCCCTTCCAATTAAGGGGATGAAAATCCTGTACCTGCACTGTTTAGATACTGGTCAGGACGAAGACTGAAAAATCATTACAGATATCCCTGGGACATTGGGACAGGAATTCAACTTTGAATTAGTTAGCTAATATATTGGTTTATCTTTGCCGTTCTTCAACACTGGAGCCCAGAGCAAAGTATGTCATCCCAGAACACACCATCCATAATGATATATGGGAACCAATCCCAGACAGTGACCACTCCCTTCTGTGAGAGTCTGAGCTTGCTCCACCCCAGGGAGGTGAGGACCACCTTCTAAAGCTTTCCTTGTACAATGACCTCTGTAGGGGCAGAGTCTACTGGCAGTGGAGAACTCCCAAGACATCTGAGCTCCAGAAGCGAGATTTGAGATATCTCCTTCTCCCACTCCCTCTCCCCTCCTTTCCTCTCTCCCTCTGCCCCTCCCTTCTTTTCTATTCTTCTTCTTTTGGCAGTACTGTGGGACCCAGGGACTCATATTTGCTAGGCAAGCATCCTAGCATAACTGCTAGGATGCCACTGAGCTGCACATCCCCCAGCCTTAGATTTTATTCCTGGCACTGCAAACATGATGTTCAAAATGACATTGTCATCAGGTAGCCCAGTGTCCCATGGTGTTTCAAGATGGAAACTATGTTGGCTAGGCAAGGAAAACGAATCTATTTAAACCTAAGTTCTAAAAAATTATCACAAATACGGAAGAAGAGGAAGACCTGTGTCTGAGAGCATATTTATTTATTTATTTATTTATTTATTTACTTATTTATTTTTATTTCCTGGACTCTAATTAGAAAAATAAACTTTTTTTAATTTTAATTTTAATTGCCTTAATTTTAATTTAAGGCAAACTTTCAGGCTGGAAAGTGGTTAACAGCATTGGCTACTCTTGCAGAGGACCTGAATTTGAATACCAGTACCCACATAGTGGCTCCCAACAGGCTGTAACTTCAGGCCTAGGGGATCTGGCACCCTTTTCTGGTCTTTGCAGGCACACATGCAACCAAAACACCCATATGCATAATACAACATGTTTAACATTTCATTGATTAAACTTTTAAAAATTAAAATATTCAGGCAAGGCCAGGCTGCCTTTGTCCCCACCTGAGGCTGTACAGCACTTTCCCATCTGGCTGTACCCGAAGCATGACGTTGTCTGTGGTGGTGTCATGGATGAAGGAACGTTTGGAGTGCACAAAGAACATGTCGGGAACCCAGATCTTCTTCACAAGCCGGCCATCAAATGTCATACTGAGATTGTTAGTGCTCGGAAAAGACAGTCTCTCATCCTTCCAATAGTGCCGCAGATAGAGGGTCATGGTGAAGTCCTACAGGGGGAAGGCAGAACAGAAAACAGATAGCCACCCACTCAGGAGCCATCAGCAGTAGGAATGCAACTGAAGCCAGTGGGCTGAGCAGTACCACTGGAGAAGGCAGAGAGGAACCCAACAAGGGGGCCTAGAGCAGACTGCCCCTGAACTCTACCCACCCATGACATCCACCATCTCCATGACAGCTGCCCTGCTGACCCCAGCCACTCAAGCTGACAGTGCCAGGGTTAGAGGACCTCAGCTGAGAAGCCCAGTCCAGTCCCCAGGCCCTGAGCTGGGGTGACCTGGACTGTGCTCATCACTGTCTCCTGGAGAAACCTGTGGGGGAGGGAGTGCTGTAGGAGTGGCTTGCTTGAGAACACCATGCTTTTTGCTTGCTTCCCTGTCTCACTGTCTCATCCTGTCTTAGCATTTTCTGGGAGTAGTCCCCAAGTATATACTGGGCTATAATCTTCTTTCTGGCCTGCTTCTTGGAGGCTCCAAGCCAACGTAGACGTTTAAAAAGTTCCCTAACTTGTAGAATGCTCCCCATCCCCACCACGCTACCTTTAAATTTTTTGAGATTGTGTAGCCCAGGTTGGTAAGGAGCTTGCTCTTTAGAAGACCAGGGTGGTCTAAAGCCCAGGATAACCCTTCTTTCACCCCTTGGGTGTTGACTTGAAGACATGTACCACCACGCCTAGCTGGCAACATTTTTTAAATTGGATCCCACTGAAAAGCAAAAAGGAATAGTACCACTGTTCCAGGTTTCCAGAACAAGACACAGACTCTACAGAAATACAAGGACCTACACTGCACAAGGTGCCCAGGCTGGAAGATAAAGACCAAGTTTGTCACCTGACTCTATCTCATACCAACTTGGAACTATGGACAAATGACAAGATGTCTGTGAGTCATTTGTAAAGTGAGTGTGACAGGTCCCATCTGCCAAGGAGATACGAAGGAATTTGGTAGTGTAGAGCTTCTGGCCAGGCAGGTCCACCTAAGCCCTCATTGACCAGACCACCCGGTCAGAGAAGCACTTACCATGTCAACCTCTGAGATGCTGTCCAAACTCTCCACTTGTACATCCACACCCACAGGAATGGCCGGGCCTGGAGATGGCAGGGCAGTGGCTCACTCACTCATTTATTCTCTCTGCTCTTTCTTTTTTGTCTTCCCCCTCCCTCCCTTCCCCCCTCCCTCCTTCCCTCCCTCCATTTCTTTTTCTTCTTCTTCTTCTTTTTTTTTTTTTTTTTTTTCTTCTTCTTCTTCTTCTTCTTCTTCTTCTTCTTCTTCTTCTTCTTCTCCTCCTCCTC